CGAGTCACAGCAAGCCCCGCTACCAAACAACGACCCACACCCAGACCCAGACCCAGACCCACACCCACACCCACCCACACCCACACCCACACCCACACCCACACCCACACCCGTTTCGATAGAGAACTTCAAGGGCTAAAGAAATCACTATTTAGATTTGATCTAGCTATTCGTCTTCATTGAAAAATCTCAACGACAAAAGGGGGTCTATAATTTTGATAAGCCCTGTATATACTTTAACTTTGAGTTTTTCAAAGTTAAAGTATTAAAGCAGGTTACTTTAACTGTAACTTTTAAAGTAAAGTTTAAGTATCATACCTAGAGTGGACCAGTTCTTCTAACTAGATAAATCCTGTTCGTACTGCACAGCTGTTTTTTCTTTGATCGTTGATTCTGTTGCAAACGCTCGACATCATGTATATAGATGGTTCACCTCTAACTCGAAGTGAATGAGAATGGATGAAAATGGCTGGGAATGTTCGAATGAGATTTCCCCCCCTTTGTACCACACACTTCATTATTTAAATAAAAGTAATATTATATATACAAGTGAGATATTTGAAGAAATAAATCAAAGTAAGCTGGAAATACTTGACCTTAGTTTGCGACGATTGGACGTAATGGCGTCTACGAAATGTGTAAATTGTTGCTACGGAACAATCATATAAAATTGAGATAGTTGAATCTCACGAGAACACTGACGCTTAAGGAGAAGACATAAGATAAAGATTTGAAAGATATAATCGATGGTGTCAACAATTCAAAAAGGAGAAATATTGAAACCTTGGAGTGCTGTGTGACCAGAAGTACGCATATAACTTTATTTAACCAAGCCAAGAGTTGAAAGACGAATGAAAAGAACTTTTGTTGTTTAAAAATTTATCTTCAACAAAACAAATATTCTTGGATAAATGAGACAGAATAAATTTTGAAGTGTAACATGAGAATGGCTTTGGGTCTTATCTTCACTCACACTCACGCTAGAGCCGTCGACAGGCCACTTTTACTTTTGATTTTGATGATGATGATGAATATTATACAGCAGTAATCACTAGCACAAGTTTATATACTTATCAATTACTGAAACTTGAACATTTACTGGACTCAATCTTATCAAATTTTTTGACTATACTTTTTATTGATTTATGCTGTTAGATACTATTATTTCATTATGGCCAAAGATGATAATTCAACTAAAAAGAGTAATCCTTATATTAAATGGAACATTTTTCAAGTAATAACTGCTATTTTGAATTCTATTATTTAAAAAAAAGGATAGAAATCAACAACGATTAGTTATGAACTTGTTCAACAATTATTATCTCAATCAATTGAATTTGTAAATACCTTTATTGATGTTTGGTACTAAATACTATACATCAAATTTTTATTTTGTTTTCATGGTTCTCTCTGACTTTCGATGACATTTCATCGATAATCTCGATTTCTACCGATAGAAAAAATACCATCAAATATAGGTACATTCTTGATAAATAGAACAAAGTGACAAGTAAATATCTTACAAAATTTATTAGTGACTATTTTTATCTAGTGTCTTGATAATGATAGGGACAACAGGAAGAGAGAGATAGACGATATGTGTCCTACGACGAAACAGAAAACTATTGATACATTTTCTTTTCTTTTGACATTTCGTTTTTTGTTAATGTGAATCTAGATTAGATTCATTTTGTCATTTACTTTTTACTTTGTCCTATAGTTTACGTCTATAAAAAGAAAAAGAACACCACTTATTCTTCGATTGGTTTTAAGTAGTTCATGTTTCCATTATATAGAAGTAAGTTTCAACAAGTGACAACTCCGTCACATCCACATTTAACACATATTGGACATTCACATCAAACGAGTGAACAACTACTTGATACAATTCATAAACTTCACGATCGATTATCATCTGTTGAACCATTTTGTCTTGAAGAACTTGAACAATGGCGTAACACAGCTTATCAATCTATAGATCAATATTGTGAAAGAAAACGTCATGATTTAATTGAAAAACAACAAGAAAAACATCAAATAAATCTTAATCATTTTCAAAATGAAGTCAATCGATTAATTAAAGAACCAAATATATCAGAAAATCAGTATAGTTTAATACAGCATGATATTCACTTAGAAGAAATTAAACTTAATGAATTTCAACATTTTCGATTAACTCTTAGTCCATTAATTATCGATGAAAATCTTGTTGTTCAACGACATATCTTTCCTCTATCTCATCATTATCAAACCATTCATATGAAAAATAATATTGAAAGTTCAATTGCTGTTAATGATAAATATCTTCTTATTGCTCGAGAAGATAAATATTTATGTTTACTCGATCGAAATTTAAATATTATTAATGAAATATTATTTACACATAATGGTGTTCATAGTATTTGTTGGTCATCGACCATTAATCGATTTATCATAATTGCATTGAAAGAAATATTAACATTTGATGCAAATACAATGGCACTGGAAAACTGTTCGATTCCGTTTAATGAAAATTGGTACCGTGGAACATGTTCAGAAGACAATTTGTTTTTATCCACAGTAGAATGGGGTTCATCAATTTATGAATTTAATCTTCGATCATCGTTTGAATTTATCAAAGGATGGCATTCACCAATTACATGTGAAACAAATGAAGTTATTTGTGATTTAAAATATAAGAACAATTTTCTTGCCATGCCTATTTTTAATGACCAACTAGAAGAAAGCCGAATTGACTTACGTTCGTCAACAACATTCGAATGTATTTGGTCAATTCAAATTCATGGACGTTGTCGTTGTTGTTCAATTAATGTTGATCAATGGTTAGTAATGGATCATAATGATTGTCGATTTTTTCATATTTCGAATGATGGAAAACTTTTAAAATCGGATAAATACAATCAACATGAACGATTTGTAGATATTCTTCCATGGGGTGAAAATGATATGGTCGTCTTAACCAAAAAAAGTGTTAATTTGCATAAATTTTAATAATAAAAAAAAAAAAAACTTCAATATATAAACTATTTTTGAGTTAAAGATACATTTTATTGTATATAAATATGCATCGTAAAATAAACTCGTACAGCATAAGATGATCAATGAATTCATATTAACAAAACAAAAATAACCGTCATTTTCAAGGAAAAACAAAAGATTATTACAGAAGTGATTTCGCAATGATCAATGTCATTTTTCTGAGCGTTTTATATCTTCAAGATACATTTGAGAGTTTTTTCTATTTTATTTCTTTTAACTTCATTCGCTCAATCAAGATTCTATCTGTGTGTTTATAATAGGTTTATTCCTATTATCTTATGGTATCTCAAGCATAAAATATTTTCGTATATCAATGTTTGTTCGAGAGCTTTGTATTTGAAGATTCAACACATGACTTTGGAGCTTTTTAATCAGATTTGATGTATTATTTTGCATAAAAATGCAAGGTTAGTTTTGTTTTTTTATATCAGTTTAGGAAATTTGTCTTGAATTGTAACAATTTGTTGTTGTTGTTCATTACATCAGTGCTTTAGATGAACTTCTCTTCAGAAACGATCATTTTTTCGTTGTTCTTTGATCTTTCATTTCATTCTTATGAAAAATGACTTACGATTGACGTTAAGACAATGGCTGTCAATCAATTATCTGATATAGATTGGATTCTTTTTGAAACTGGCAATGCTATTTGTGTAATGACACTTTTGACAAGACAATTCTTTTTTAATGGAACTCACATATATTCTCTAGTCTCAATATATTAATATCAAATACGTAAAGTGAAAAATCTCTTGTGGACTATAGTTATTTTGCAGAATAACCGATCACCAGAGTAAGGACCTTTCTAATTGCTGCATTTCGAGCAAAGTTTTTTAATTTTTCTATGGGCGCCCTATTTTTGTTTGCATTGTTGCTATTCGCTCATTATTTTTCATTTCTTTTAAATTCGTTTTTCTTAATTTAACATTCTTGGTATTATAATCATTGAATTAATTCACAAATAAATCTGTTTTACATATCTATAACATCTACAGCAGACCTTACGCACTAGTATATATATATTAATTAACTCACAAACAATGATATTCCTTATTTTTCAAAATCATAACATGATCAATTTTGCACAAAAAATCTTTAGAGGGTCTGACACTTGTTATTCTAGACCGCTAAAATCTGAAATGAGGAGTAGTCTGTAATGGGAGTATCTGTAATGAGTGACCTGCGCTGCTAAATGTC